GATATATATATATATTGTTTAATTTAAAAAGAAAAAAAGTAATCAGACAAAACTATAATATTTCCTAACAAAAAAATATATAATGTATTTGACTACTAATAATGAGATTGAAATTGTTCACATATATTCAATTTAAAATGTTGAGAATTAATCTTATTAATAATAAGAATGTAGCAATTTTGAAAAATCATAAATAAAATAAGAAAATGATTTAGTATAATAAATAAATAAATAAAAACACACTAACCTGACCTTCGTGTATACCAAGGAATAATTCTTTTTTTTACACAACTTGATATTTTACAAAAGAATTTACACTAAAGTACAATTGGACATAAGGACTATCCTACTACTTTTCACAATCTTTCACTTTTCAACAACTTTGATAGCTCGATAAGATTTGTGTTATTCATGTATTATATAACTTATACGACGTTTGATAGGTAATTAAAAATATTTTATTTATATATAAAATTAATACGCTGATTGATTGACAATTTAAGAACCTGCAAAACTAATGTATGTATAAGTTGTAGGGGAATCTATGTATTATTTATGCAAGATAGCAGGTAGACTAACAATACATATATAACTAACACATAAACTAATTTCTTTGTAACAAATAACTACATAAAATAATACATAAATCTTCTCACATAATATCTACATTACTTATACTTAATAATTCTAATCAGCTATCAAATGACTCACAAAAGCACTTAAAAATCAAAACTATATATATATATATTATTATTGACAAAATTATTATTATTGCCACACTTATGTAATGCTATTACAGTTTTTTTAGGGAAAAGAGTTTGAAAAATACTCCAACTTTGGCTGAAATTACTGTTACGATACCAAACTTTGGAAATGACCTTTTACCCCCTGTACTATTTAATAGTGTATTTTAAAGGTATATATATGTGCCTACGTGGACATCATAAATATTGCATCATTTTAAATAGTAATGTGTCCATGTTGACACATATATACCTTTAAAATACACTATTAAATAATGCAGAAGGTCCTTCATAAAATTGATATCGTAATAACAATTTCGGCTAAAGTTAGAGTATTTTTCAGACCCTTTTTCCTTTTTTTAAAAAACAAACTTTGCTGACTCATTTTTAATCATGGTAGCTTGTTGACTCTACACTGGTTAACAAATTTCCCTTGTTTTTTTTCTCCAAATTCCATGGAAATATGCTAAAGAAATTCAATTTTATTTGAACTTGATTTTCTTATTTGTTTCAACCTTCACATGATTTCTCTTAATTTCAAATATCTTCCATTTTATGCTACTGTAGCAATATTTCTATGTCGAACTCACATTGATCCATGTGTTTAATTAACCCATATAAACCTAATATCTCAAAGATACTTGCACATAGAATCTTATAAGAAGGAACCCTATTCACTCTTTAATCTTATAAAAATAATGTAATCATTAAAGTTTACTAGTGAATTTTTTTAAAAAAGTCATTCGAAATTTATACAAGTAGAGACTGTGACCACCAAGTGAATATTTTAAGTTTTATTTTTTCCTCAAATGAAAGTCAAAGTATTACTATAAATACTTTTTATTTTTCTGAAAAGTAAAATATAAGTTTCTTCCATATCTGTGTTATTCATTCCTTAGAGGAAAGATTTGAAACTCTATAAATTGAAAATTTATATTCTCATACTAAACACAGTAGCCAAAATAGAGAAGCTTCACTCAAACGGGAATAACTTTTTACTTCGAGCTCGATATTTAGCAAACTTTGTGGCTTTGGAAAGAGGACTCAAAGACCTTCAATTTGATAGTTGATGGGCCTCCTAACTCTCTATGTGTTAAAATATATGACCGTTTGAAGTTGATCCGAAACTAAATATTGATGGATGACTTATACAAATTTCTCTTTAGTTCTTTTCGAAACCTCAAGTGTTACACCAACCTTTCGATATCATGTCCAAAGTAGCAGTGGCGTAGCCAGGAATCTTATGAAGGGGGTCCAAACTTTGAATAGTATTTAAAAAAAAACCCGATGATTTATAGAGATTCTATTTTTAATAATATTATGATATAATTTGGGTAAATGGGTCTCCTATTTGTAGGGAAAGAAAACATTATTCCAAAAGGAAAATGTATTAAAAATTTTAAAAAATCTTATTCCACAAAGAAAAAGGTATTAAAATATAAGGAAATCTTATTCCATAAGGAAAATGTATTAAAATTTAAGGATTTTTTTTCAATTAAAACCTTATTTCAAAAGGAAAATGTATTAAAATTTAAGAAAAAGGTATTAAAATATAAGGAAGTCCTATTCCACAAGGAAAATGTATTAAAATTTAAGGAAATAATTCAATTTTAATTTTAAAAAAATCTTTATTGGAGGTGAATTTGAACTTGGGTCACTTAAGACAAGCATGACACTATTTATCACCAAACTACTGCACATTTATGTTAAACTTACGCATGTTGATTTACTTACAAACTTCAAGAAGGCAAAATAATTATAAAAAAAAGAAAACGCTTATGCGGGGAATCGAACTAGGGCAGCTAGTGGGCTTCTGACAGCTCTTGCCATCTCCACTGCGGGTCACTTTGTTATTTTAGGGTGTCCAAAATACCATATGTGTTAATATAAGTTAAAACTTTGCGTGTATATAACGTATAATTTTTCGACGAAGGGTCTCCAATACAAGGTGGCTCCGCCCCTGCAAAGTAGTCCCCAATATAATATTGAATGTGAGAGATATTATGTGCAAGGATCTTTGGCAGTATTAATTTGTACAAAATAGTCACCATATAGGTTGGGCGAATCTAGCACGTGAAAAATTTATCATACGAAAGTCTGAGGATGACAATTTATTTAGGAGAGTAGTCACATCATATACTTAATTATAAGCGTGATTTTAAACAAAAAACTTTAATATATACCATGTGGGGGTGGACTACGCGAAGATTGTGATATTTAAGGGGGTCGTTTGGTAGCTGGATAAGAAATAAGTTCTTCATATATTAATTTTTGTATAACTTATTTAATGTTTAGTAGGTAGATAGGAAAAGTTATTCATGTATAAAATTAATATGATATTTCGTTGACAATTTAAAATCCCGCATAACTAATACATATGTAAGTTGTGAGGAAATCTATGTATTGTTTTATGCAGGATGAGAGATAAAATAGCTAATACATACATGAAATAATACATAGATTTACTCATAACTTATATGAGTAATATTTATAGGTTGAACTATTGGTGGCCCCTAAAGTTGGAACCAATTTTCACTTAGACACCTTAACTAAGCTTTGTTCATTTTAGACGATCATGTTGAGTCCACTGTGTCATTTTGACACTTACTAGTTTCTCCTAATTTGACACATTGGGTGTGTTGCACCCATTTTGAGCGCGTGAGGAGTGTTTTTAAAAAAAATATATTTTTTACCTTTTTCTTCTTCCCTCTCTATCCCTACCACTTATTCCACCTTCCACCATGAAAAATCATGATGAAAAACCTTACAAAATATGAAAAAAAACATAAAAATTATCACACTATTTCAAAAATATTTGCAAGAACAAAATTTTAAAAATAATCACACTAATTTTGAAAACATTTATTCGAACAAAACACACTTTTTTTTTCAAAAAAAATATATAAGAAGAATGTCATATTTGTCAGAACTCACCTCACTATCGATAAAATGGTTCTCAAAATCAAATTTACAACGAAAAATGAAATAAGAAAGATTAAAATCTAATGATTTTTTTGTTTTTAAAATGGAAGAATAACCAAAAAATGGTGGGAGGGTTGGGGAGGCAAAAATGACGGAAGTAAGGCTGATGGGGTGGGGTGATGTAAGGTGGGGGTGGAAGTGGTACAAAATCGGTAATTTTATTTATTTATTTTATTGAAAATAAGTATTGTTCGAGTTCGAGTCTCCTTGAGTACAAAGTCGCCTTTGTTATGAAGCACTTTACTAAATTCAGATTTAGTCGGGCTTCAAAATAAATATCGAACACTTGAAAAAAAAAAAAGACAACAAGGACCAGACTTTCCCTGGCTGTCTCAAACTCATATAGTTAGATTCCATTCAACTCAACATTATTAACCTAATCTAACAGCTAGATAAAATATCGAATTTCAAGGCATGTTTATTTTAATATTAAAAATAATAAAAATTCCTTGTCCTAATCGAAAAGAAATAAAATATACTTACTATTAAAATATTAAAAAGGAGGGTGGTGCCATGTCATTCGCAAGTGTATTACACACTCTTCATAATTTTAGTTGATTGTCAAAAAAAGGTCAAAATGACACAGCGGACCCCTACTTGAGGTGTTTAAAATGAACAAAGCCTAGTTGAGGTGTCTAAGTGAAAATTGGTGCCAACTTTAAGGGGATGTCGATGAGTTCCGCCATATTTATATTACTAATATCTGTATAACTTTTATTGTTGGGTAGTTAATTTGCCATGAATTTCCTAGCATAATTAGGTTTTCCTTTTCCTAATAAAAAATATAAAGTCCCTATATTTGGCTAGTCCTTTTACTTGTAGGGAAAAACTTATGACTTTATAAATAGAGACATATTCTTTCTAACTTGGTAGCATTCACAATGTAGTCCTAGAGGCTTTGAGAGTTTTGTGTAAAGGGGAGAATTTGCGAGACACAAGTGTTACGTTAACACTTGTGTGAACCTCTTTTATATTCCGAGTGAATTGTAAAATGTGTGTACTCTCATATTTATATAGTGGATATTGCTCGTCTCCTGTTGTGGATGTAGGTTGATTGACCGAACCACGTTAAATATTTGTGTCTTCTGGTACATTTCTCGTTTGTTTTCTTACTCATGGTCTTAACTTCTGCATGACACCTAATTATTTCGATCCTAACGCTAATCAACTACCAAACGACCCCGTTAGTTGCCCCTGAATATTATAATGAAGTGGTATATAAAGTAACACTAGTTATCCTTAATTATATATGTATGTATATATATCTAAGTTCAAATGGCTTCTTCTCAACCCATTATAATTTACTTTATTGGATTGAGTTTTTTCTTATTGCTAGCTTGTGCTACTAGTTGTTACACATCCATTTTTGGATTTGGTGATTCACTTACTGATACTGGAAACTTAGTGCACCTCTATCCACATGGTAATAAACCTCACATGTATTTTCCTCCTTATGGAAAGACATACTTCCATCATCCCACTGGTCTTTGCTCTGATGGACGTCTTCTCATAGATCTCATTGGTCGGTATTATTTACTTTTTATTTTTATTTTTATTTTACCTTTGTTAAACCAATTAGAAAGGAAAGTAAGATAAACGATTGAAACAGAGGTATGCCATATATATATTGTACTCAAATTTTGTAGCACAACATTATGGACTTCCACTTCCACCACCTTCACTTGATGGAAGAAATGTTCAAAATGGAACAAATTTTGCAGTGGTGGGATCAAGAGTAATGGATGCACAATTCTATGAGAAGAGAGGAATTTATGAAATAGTAACAAATGTTTCTATGTGGGATCAATTGAATTGGTTTAAACAAATGCTTCCACATTTATGTCATAATTCTTCAGGTACCTTATTATATATATATTTTTTATGTGTGTGTGTTTATGTGCCACCTAGTGGGATTTCACTGGGTATGTTGTTGTTGTTGTTGTGTGTGTTTATGTGCTTAATTAATCAGAATAAATTATAATTTGAGTATCTAAATTAAGAGTATACATTGACAAGAAATTTACCTATTATATTCTGGTTGTTTTGGACAGGCTGCAAAGAGTTTTTAGAGAGCTCCTTATTTCTTCTTGGGGAATTTGGAGGCAATGATTATACACATGCACTTCTTTCACACAAAACTTTAAATGACATTCTTCCCATCATCCCTTTAGTTACCCAATCTATTGCCTCAGGTGCTCATGTAAGTCTAATTATTTATCTGATTTAAGTCCTCAGTATGGAAAAATTCTTGATACAGAGTATTTCTCCCTAAATGAGCTCTTATATGGCATGAATTCAGATTAATCGGGCTCTAATGTGGGTACGAGATATATGAGTATGAATCTCCCTTTGCAGAAAAAAATATACTCTCTCCATTTAAAAAAGAATGGTTTAGTTTGACTTGACACAAAATTTAAGAAAATAAAAAGATTTTTCAATCTTATAGTCCTAAATTAAAATTATGTCAAATGTATCTAAAAGATCCTTTAATCTTGCAGTTTTAAATATGTCAAAGGGAAAACTGAAATTAAAATGCTGCCAAAATTTCAACACTAGTCCCTCTTCAAAAATTTCAAATACTATTAGTAGATTTTATAAAAGTTTAGCTCATAAGTAACTTAATCCAACACTAGTCCCTCTTTATAATTAAATGTAATTTTTTTAACTTAATCCAACACTAGTCCCTCTTTATAATTAAATGTAAATTTTTTAACTTAATCCAACACTATTCCTTCTACCGGGTATACATATAATAACTGCATTGAAATTCACCTAATTTAAATTGTCGGTTCTATGCGTTTCCCATCGAGTTAAGGCATCGAGTGTTGTCCGCCTTGGAGCATGACAAATTAAAACTTGATAGTTATCTATTTATTGAATGTAGGAGCTAGTGGAGCTTGGGGTAAAGACAATAATAGTGCCAAGTGTGTTACCACTTGGATGTACTTCATCCTATTTGACAAATTTTGAGAGCTTGAATGAAGAAGACTATGATGAATTAGGTTGTCTCATTTGGCCAAATGAATTTGCTTCCTATCATAATGAACTTCTTCAAAAGGAATTACATCGACTTAGAGAGCTTCATCCTCATGTCAATATTATCTATGCTGATTATTACAATGCTTCTATGCAACTTTATCGAGCTCCTCGAAAATATGGTAAGTTTACTTTATAGTTGTTATAATCAGAGGCAGAGTCAAGACTTTCATTAAAGATTGCGTTCAAAATATGAAGAAGTATATATATAAACCATGTATAAGAGGGTGTTTAGATTGACTTATTTTCAAGTGTTTTTTAGTGTTTGGGAAAGTAAAATATGTTTTTAAACACTTATTTAAGTAAAAAATAATAGAAAAATAAGCTAAAAGCTAAAACTTGGGTATCATGACCAACTTATGACTTTTAGCTTATAAACTTTTTTTGAAAAGTTAATCCAAACACCCTCTAAATAGTGTAATTTTCAGCTAAATGGGGGTTCGAATAAACCCATCGTCCCTATTTGACTCCACCTCTGAATGCCACTCAATGTTGTCGCGACAGGGAAAATATTCTCCATTTTTTATCAAAGGTCCGATCCATGGTTTAAGCCCCAAAAATAAAAACTACCTCTAGAAGCTAAGTGAGTGTGTTACTCTATGAAAGAGTGACTTTCTGGTGAGAATTCGGATTAATTGATCCTCAAAACATATGTTGAACATCAGTGAAAAACAAATGAATGATAGACACAATCAGTGCAATTTAATATTGGTACAGTATGGAGATAAGTATTCTTGTATCCTTAAATAGAGGTATCCTTAGAAAATAAACTTTCTTTAGTAGGAAATATTTCATCCTCTAAAGTAAAACGTTCTGACATGGATCCAAGTTAGTTGACCCTCAAAGTGTATACCGAATATTGGATAAAAATAATAATTGTGCAAACAAAGTTTTACACAACCAGCAATTCAATTTGTTGTAGAAGGTTACTCACCTTAATTTTTTACAAGTTATAAGTTTCACTAATTATAGACATTACTTTTGTTTGACATGATATGATAGAGAAAAAAATTAAATAAATTGTATAGAAGTCCGGCTACTTTTTTACACGTACCGTTGAAAAATATATAGCAAGAACACAAATTTATAGGAAGAAGAACACTAAGATAAAGGTTTGATAATATGAAGAAGGCTTGAAATATGTGTGAAATGCTTTCCTAAAAATGATATTTGCTCTCTCTCATCGGCGAGATTGCTATGGGATATATGACAATTCTATGAATTTCTACACTAAGAAAATAGTGAAGAAATCCTATTGAAAAAAAAGGGAAAATGCATAAGTACCCCCAACCTATGCTCGAAATCTCAGAGACACACCTAACATTTACTAAGGTCCTATTATCCCTTCCCCCCCCCCCCTCCCCGAACTTATTTTATATATAATTTTCTACCCCTTTTCTATAGCGCGTGTTGACAAATTTTTCAAGGATAGTGCCACGTAGGCCGAAAAGGATAGAAAATTATATATAAAATAAGTTCGGGGGGGTAATAGGACCTTAGTAAATGTTAGGCTGGGGGGTACTTATGCATTTTCCCTGAAAAAAAAGATATTTTTGATTAAAGAACTTGTGCTAACCAAAGAATGAAAGGACACACCTTTTCATTTAAAAGATTCTAACTAAAGAATAAAAAGACACACAACGACTTCTACATTTAAATTGCTTATTGTTAATAAAAGTACACACGTTAACGAAGACATGTGTGCTTGTACATATAATTTTATAACCATGTGTTATATTTTGTAGGATTTTTTAAGGGTGTACTAATAGCATGTTGTGGAGGTGGAGGTCCTTATAATTTCAATATTTCTGCTCAATGTGGCACTTCTCAAGCAACAAGTTGTGAGGATCCTAACCAATATGTGAATTGGGATGGATATCACTTTACAGAGGCTGCTTATAGATGGATGACAAAAAGTTTATTGGAAGGCCCATTCACTTATCCTCCTATGAAGAATTTGTGTCTTTTTGATGTTATTGAGGCCCGAGTTTCCCAAATTTAAAAGGCCCCAAAATAGATCCCTTTAAAACATAAATAAAAAAGAGAAAATTAGGCGGATAAACAAACATATGCTAGTTAATTAATAGTTAACATAGCTATAGTTTGAATTAATTATTATTCGCCACTTATTTATGGGCATTTATGCGGCCACATCTGAATTGTATAACTGTGTAGTTTTCGTAATTTATATAATATAACTTGTATAGCTTTTGTATAATGTAATTTGTGTAATATAATTTGTATAACTTTTTAAAGTTTAGATGTTTGTGTTTGTATAAATTCTATCGAATTTTTGAGTTTTTATCATATTTGTATAATTCTGAAATTTGAATTACTCCGAAAACAGATCCAATTTTAGACGATCTACTATTGTATCCACATTTGTATAAATCTGTAATTGTATATTCTAATTGTATATTTCTTTATTTTACTTATACAAAATATATAAGTACAAAATTTTACCAACAAAATTATACTTATACAAAATATATAAGTACAAATTAGTTGTTACGACTCACATAAAAAAAATAGCTCTATATATGTGAGTTGTTTTGTTCCTTATAAAACTTTATCATTTGAATTGCATATGTTCATTCTCTTATTCTATTTACAGTAAAAAGTGGTAACAAAACCCTAGTATAAATCCAAACATTATATTCTTGAGTGATGGGAGCCTTAACCGTTACAAAAATGGCATACAAATTACAATACCCTTTTATTAACTTATTGATCATTAGTGGGATGTGATTAACATTCGACCAATTAAACTAATACTTGAATTTGTCGCATGTCCCTAACCTTGATTCATGACTATTAATGAAAGACATTTTTATATTATTTTACAAAGTATAGATTATGTAACACCCCGAAAATTTCTAAGTTAAGATTCAAACCATTCTTCATTTACTTGTAGGGTCATATCGGGTGATTCATCAATTACCCATATGTATAAAGGTAAATTTTTTAGTGTGGGAATGATTTGGATATGAATTAAGATCACTAAAATCCCCTAGCACAAAGTAGAGTCGAAAGTTTCCTTATCAATTTAAGTTTTGATGTAAGATTCTACTTTGGTAAACTTCAAACGACCATATCTCTTAGAATATAAAGAGTTACGTGACCCATAACCTATCAAATTAAAGGTATTTGAATCTACTTTCCAATGCCACCAATTTTGCGTCAATACAATTTCTGAGTAAAAAGTTATGACCATTTTAGTAACTGATACAGTGCAGTGACAAATTAGCCGACGGGAAAACATTAAAAAAGATCTTTTTATTTTTTTACCTCCAAGGAAAACCTAAACGAATTTTTGACTAGTATAAGGCTCAAAACAATCAGATTTTCATCTTTTAATCCATCATTCTCGTCTCTCTCAAACCCTAGGGCAAAACCCTAAGGAAAAAAATCAAAGTAGAAGACTTCATTCAAGATTCTTTCAAATTTTTTCAAGATTCTTCTTCAAGGTAAGTCTTTATCCAAGAATTCCATTCTTTTCAACTCAAATTCCTCCATACATTATGAATCACTAATGAAAATCATGATTCTTGGCCTTAGAGATTTCAAGAAACTAATTCAAGAATCTTAAGAAAGGTTTTCTTGATTGTTCTCCTTCAAGCTAGGGTTTCAAGGCTTCTAATCAAGTTCTTCTTCAAGATTATTCAAGAATATTGTTCTTTCAGGTATGTAAGACTATCATAGTGTTGGACTAGTTCGTCCTCATGCCCTACATTTACTTTCAAATCAGTAAAAGGGAAACCTAGGATTCTACCCCTAGATTTGAGGATTATTGAGATGAGTTGATTTTGAGTTCTTGAGTTCATGTTTATTTTTGAAATTCTATTCCTAATTATTAAATTGCTATATGTTATGCATTAAGATTCTTGAGTAGATTCGTTCATGTCTATAATTCAGCATGAACCCTATTTTGAGTTATAAATCTTGAGAAGCTTTTTAAAGCCAACACTTGAGTTTTAAACTGAGTTTTTGAAGAAGTAAAGATGAGTTTTGAGAAAGAGTTGTATTCACAAGTTTCTATATGGTTATTGAGGTCCTCGAGTTGAGTCGTTCATACCCATAATTCTACATGAACCCTACGAATTGAGTTATAAGTTTTGAGAGTTTTTGAAAGTCAATCATTGTGTTTCAAACTGAGTTTTGAGAAAAAGTTTAAAGGTTCTATTTCATAAAGTCTTAAGATTTTCTAATGTTATTTTATTCATATATACAAGAAGTTCATTCTTGGTAATGGGTGAATTGAGCAAAAAGTTAAATTAATTATTTTGGGAGTAGTATCGAGCACTAAGTCTATTATGATTCAGAAGTCCCACAAAACTACGTAACAAGATAAGATATCATTGATTCTTCATGCGACTCATCACCGCCTCTGAGAAGGCATATAGCTGGATCCATAGTCACGATATCATCATATACCCCCGGCAAGGTATATGATGGATCCTTACAATGTGTGGCGGGACGTTGTATCATTGCTAGGCATATGGTAATGGTTGTCGGTTAGAGAAACTCCCCACAAGTAAAGTATATTATTTTCATGTTGCTTTCATTGTATATTTTATTGTAAAGCTTAAATGTTTTTCACTTCATGTTCATGTATTGATTCAGATGAGTGAGTTGCTTCTAGTAATTCAGTTCAATTATTTGTTTACTCAGCCATATTACATACTCATACATTCCATGTACTGATATCATTTGACCTGCATCTTTTTATGATGTAGATATAGGTGTTTGTGATTATCAACATGCGCTTTGTTAAGATCACTCTACACTCCAGTTAGCTTTGGTGAGTCTCCTTGTATTCCAGAGCACTTCACAGTTACTTTCCAGTTAGTAGTTTTGAGGTGTCATGGGTCTTGTCCCGACATCCTTTCTTAATAGTAGAAACTTCATAGATAGACAGTTTTGGAGAGTCTTTCAGTTTCAGATATTTTATTTAAAACTTATGTTTCATACTCAGTATATTCACAGAGTTTTGAGATTCAGTAAACTGTTTTTAAACACTTCTTCCAATTTGATGATTATGTATGCTTGAGTTCGTCTTCCGCTTGTAGTCAGTCAAGATGAGGGTTCGCTTGAGTGCCAGCAATGGTTCTCGAGTGTCGGCCACATCCAGGGTGTAGGCTCGGATCGTGATAGATTATGCGCAACTTTGACAATATTTTTATCTTTTCCTTTCACTGACTATGTTGCATCCTCCAAAAACATCCTTATAGAACCACCTTCTCACTAGAAAATCTTTCTCGATCGTAAAATACTTTGAGAAGAAAAAAAGAAGAATGATATTTACATGCTATCAAAAGTTTACATAATTGTCTCAGATATTTATATTAAATCAATAAAGATAAGACATATGTCTTGTGTATATATACAATTTTTTGACATTTAACTATGATTAAGTGATACACATTTTGATAGTCGTAAACTCGCGCCTTTCGTAATAGAAGATTAGATTATGTAAAACAATTACTTGTTAATTAATTCTTGAAAACTACTTATTTAGTTTGATGTAAATACTAAATACTCAGTAGAAGTAAGTATTGTGATGGGCTTCTCTTTTGTTTTCCAGCCCCTTTATTAATGAAAAACTACCTTATTAGACATATATATATATATATATATATATATATATATATATATATTAATATATATATATATATATATATATTAATTTTACCTATATTATTGAGAAAGAGTACACCTAAATATATTAAAACATGGAGAGAGGCGCGTGACACGTTGTTGACAGCCAATTTTGGACCTCCACAATATATATTAATCATCGAGCTTCTTAAATTCCAAACTATTTGAAATAATTAACTTTATAAAATTCAATATAGTTTTCAAGTTATTTTAAATAGTTTTGTCACTTTTTAATATTTTTTAAATAGTATATATGTTTTAAATAATCATGTATATAATTAGTATATTTTATGAATATTCGAAATTGTATCAAAAAGATTTTAGTTTTAGTTAAATATTTTGTCAATTAGTTTGGTTTAGGTAATAGTTTATATTTTTAAATTAATTAGTTTATAATGAGGTTAATTATTTTATTTTGTTAAGATGAGAAGCTCATAAATTAATTATACTATTTCATCTTATTTATGTTTAACCGAATTTTGCAAATGAGTTCAATTTGATTAGGTTCGTAATCTCAATTGGCCAATTACAATTCAATTTGACCAAATTAGTAATTCACTTGGCCATATCAAAAGAATAAAGTTTTGGACCCTACTTCTAATTTCCAGCAGCCCATATTTTCAATCTGCTCAGCCCATTTGTCCATTTTTCCTCATTCCATTTTATTTCCCAACCAACAATACGTACAACAGTCCAACTTATCAAAGATTCTCAGCCCAACATACCAAATACCCATCAACAACAATACAGTATTCCCACCATCCCACCGTCCCTTAACCCGACCCCACCCCCGCGTTTTCTTTCTGGTGAAACCAGCGAAGTACAGCAAACCCAAAAAATGGACCAGTCCAGCGATCCAGCTAATCGTAGCCCAGACCCGAGCCCAGCTCGCGCGTCTGTCTCCCTCTCTTCCTTATCCTCATCCGTTTGAAGAATTTTCCAGGTGTCGTAATCTCATTTCGATTTCGTCCTTGCACCAAATCGGACAGCTATCTTCAAAATCCGTTGGAAATTTGTACTCATTCGATTCAGCAACCTTATCCTCTTGAGATTTCAATTTTCATCAAAATTTCATACGGTTTCCCCCTCCCCCCCAAAACAACTCTAATTTTCCCGTGTAAATACTCTCCCCTTATTCTTGGTAAAAGGTCGGAAAAAAGGTTGGAAAAAGAGTCTACATTAGAGACAAAAAATACAACAAATTACTAATCAAACATCGCCATATACATACTTAGGAAATAGGTTTCGAAAGAGACTTAAAAAATCCAGATTTTACTTAGTCCCATCCTCATTCACCTCTGCTCGTTTCGTCCAAATTTTTGAAATCACATTTTTTGTGGTGCA